GCAAACTGTATTTTCACATGCTTCCATAAACAGTCTAGGGGTTTTGGTGTTTATTTAGGAACGATGAGCATGGATGGGGAATGAGGGAGCATGGGATACCCCATACTGAAGAAACATCAGGACTATGTTCAAAACAGTTGAGGACCTACTAAGTCTCTGGCTGCTCTATTTAGGGATGCCAGCTGTATTGCACAGCTGTGGGAGTAGCAGTACAGAAACAAAAAGGAATAACAGTTCCAAAAAAGTTGTATTAAAGAAACAACACCTGGCTGTATTACATGGCATCTGGCTGCTCAAGCCCCAAGGTTGGAGAAATAGTGTGCTCCTGGCTGTCTTGCACTGCACTGAGCTACACTCAATCCCAGCACTGCCCTCTCCCTCCCTAGGGGTTATGGCTGGTTTGCTACTCACTCAGTCTCACTGAAAGCTCCCAGACTTCAGAATGGCAGTTGTCTTGACCTCTGCTGTTCCTCTCTCTATTTCTTCCTATCTCGTCTCTGCCCCAGGATCAGAGCCTCCAGAACTGAAGTCCCCCCAAGATGACTGGAACCTGGACTTTGCTCCCAGACTGCCATGCTTCTGAGTATTTATGGGTCGCTCTCCCCACTTTCTGGCCACGCCTCTCCAAGGATTGATGGAAGTCTCATAAATATTCAGGCTGCTCTCAATGCCCTTCCTCCCACTATGTTCTGGGAAACTCCAGAAGACAGACGGAAGTAACAGGCCAGAAACCTGTGAAGCTCTGCACAGCCTCTTAACCAATTAACCTCTGCTGCTTGCTCTGCCTGCAGATTAGCTAAACTAAATTTACTTACCACCTAGCATCCTAGGAAGGTGCTACCAGGGGTGGACTGACCATTTGGAAACTCGGGCACTGCCTGAGGGCCCGGGGTCAGTAGGGGGCCCCATAAGATGCCCTTGGTACCTTTTTCATAGGCTTTTTTGAGTTTGGGCAAGGACACAGGGGCCCCATGATCCCCTATTGCCCAGGGGCCCCATGAGTTGTCAATCCGCCCCTGGGTGCTACATAAAGATTATAGTCATGTTCTGCTTAGTGAGGTCATTTTTTAATTGGAAAGCAAAGAGTCTGCTAGGAACACCAAGGATTCCACACAAAAGAAGCAATACAAAGAGAACAGAATACATTTTTATACAAGTACATGGTACAGCAGGCACAGATCAGGAAAATGAAATGTTGAGTTTACACATTCTTTAATTTGGAGAGTCATGTTTGCATGAATGGAAGACAGTATGAATACATCCTGTTTGTCCTTCTACTTCACTTTGAGTAGATCTTCATTGCGCAAGCAGGCTTTCTTCTCCTTTCTAAGTGTGATTAGGTCACATGGTGCCAAAGCAGCCAATTTCTTTCATGAACAAATGTCTAAAAGCTGCATGCTTGCATAAAAATTGTCCACATACAAATTGTACCCATTTAGGAACAAGGGTGACATCAAGTCCAACACTATCTTGCCACTGCTCCCCATGTAGTCTGGGCATCTGGGGGCTCCAATTGACTGTCTTTTCTGTTATAAACTCTAAAACGGTATGTATAGCCTATTGCCCTTTCAAAGTGCTTATATAAGTTTACCCAGGAGTGTATTTAGAATTTGTGCTGCCCTAGGCAACACAAACAATCTGTGACCTCCCCCACCAGCCCCCCCCCACCTGTGCCCCCCACGCACCACGGCTCCTGTATCCTCCTTCCCCCAGAGAGACTCATAATCACAGTGTCTCCCTTCCCGGAGTCTCACGGCCGCTCTGATGGCTTCCCTATTCTGCTCTGCCGCCCAGCTCCAGTGCCCAGGAGAACCGGCGTTCCTTCGTTTGGAGGGCGGCGCTCCCCTAACTACGCTCTGCTGAGCTAGGGTGCCCAGAAGAATCAGCATTTCTTATTTTGGGAAATGGCGCCGCCTCCCTGAAAAATGCCACCCAAGGCAAACACCGTGTTTTGTGGAGCCGATAAAAGTCAGGTTCACCCCCGAGGACAACAGAGTATATTGTCACTGAAATGCATAAACACATTATATTCTCTTATCTTTTCCAGCCATTGCAGCAGAGAACATGTGCAAATGATGAATTAGGTCTGTGGACTAATATGACTGCTATTCATTCTTTTTTGTAATGCCCATGTAAGAGTTAAGCACCAAAAAGGTTTAAATTCAGAAACTGTGATAGGTTTCCACTTGAATGGCCTGGCAAGTATTGAATTTGGGTTGGCAACCATGTACTGTTGGGCATAAAGATTGCTTGGTCCACAATCAAGTTGTAGAGGTGTTCAGTGAAAAACAGAAAAAAAATCAAGGGGGCAAATTTGTTAGGTTCGCTGTTTCCACCTGAACCCTGTGAACGGGGGGATAACGGGTGCTGCTGAATCTGGGGGTAGTCAATTAGGGTTTGCAAATACCTCTGGAAGGACTCTATGGGCCTGTGTTCGAATTCTTGGTGGCTGCGTTTGCGTTCCACTACTAGTGCTAGCTACCTTACCAGCTTGTATTGCACTTCTGGAACTTGCCACTTCACCATGAGATACTGCAGTGCTGGTGTCTTTTAAATGTACTAGGCTGCTGGTGCTTGCCAGATCAACAAAATGTAGTGCAGCACTAGTACTGGCCCTCTACTGCATATGAGCATAAACCATGCGTTTCTAGCACTCCAGTAACCTGGGGTTGAGTATGCCTGATCTTAGCAGGGACCTCTTCTCCATCATCTGAGCTAGCTGTCAGGGTGCTGCTGCTTTTATTTTGGGACATTATGTGCCCTAAATTTACAAGTACCTAGTTTCGACTCCGGGAAAAAGAGCTCCTGGAATGCTTGCGTGCTAGAAATAAAACTGCTGGTGCTGCTAATCCTGCTAAAGCTGCAGTTTTGTGTACAATGTATCAGAGGTGGCAGTGATCATAAAACCTATAATGACACTGCACTTGTTGGGATGGGGGGGAGTTTAAACACAAGTGCTGGCAGTAACTGAGGGTGATCCTGCTAACGCTGTGTTTTTGCGGATACTATACTGATGGGGATACTAGTATAGTTCTGTTTGTGATAAAGATACTGATCCATATTAGTAATGACGATGATCAGCAACTTATATTGTAATTGCAATAGTGTGGTGGGCAACCTAGCACTAACTGACCCTGGCAGGGAGGGAGGCTAACTGACTCTGATGCTATCTGATGTCACTAATGACACCAATACAGTGATCAGTGATAATACTGTACATTGACACTGTACCAATGGCACTGGCTGGGTAACAGGGGTGATCAAAGGGTTAATGGAGGGCAATCAAAAGGTTACATGTGCCTAACTAGTGTGTGTAAGTGTAAATGTACTTCTTTACCTTACTGTGGTGTTGCTCTCTTCTCTTCCTGAACCGAAAAGGATTCAAGAGAAGAACCAAAAACATCCTCTGTCTAGGTTTACAATCAAGACACAGGATCGTTGTGTGTTACAACCAATCAGCAGGTTCACGGCCAAAATCATTGGCCGCAACTTGCTGACAAATTTGTGTTGTAGCCAATGACAGCATGGGTCAGCAGGGGGCGTGTGCATGCGTGCCCACAAACCCAGAAAAGGTCCCGACGTACAGGTATGTGATCGTGCCTGCAGCTGCCGCCTACTCGCACTATAATTTATGTGAGCGGCCGGCAGGTAGTTAAACTTAAATTATAGTATGAAAAAAATAATAATATTGTTTTAAAATATAAATGCTTATCACTGTTTAAACCTCAGCAATGTGTGTTTGAGTCTTTTGTATATCACACAGTCAGTAGAATAAAAAGTGACTTAATCACGTGGGTCATGATGTAATATATAGGGCACAGCTGGCTTACGTCATATGCACAAAGCAAAAGTGGAAGTCCGGGATTGAGGGGCGGCACAGTGGAGGTTTTTCTATGTTATACAATACTGGTTTTAAGACATTGTAAGTGCAATTTTAATAAACAGGCAATATTTTATAATACTCTATGGCGGTTCTTTCTACTTCTTTGGTCTATATTATGGAGTGATTTTGAATTGCTAAGATGTTGGGATAATGACCTCTTAAAGGGAATGTCCACCTAAACTTAGATGTAAGTGATATATGACCTAAAATTCTTGGGTCCTATACCTAGGGTTGCCACCTCATGCCTTTAAATCCAAACACATATTAATTACACAGGTTCTGAGGCTAATTTATTGCAGGAAAGGCACCAAGTGAGTTTAAAACAGTTCCCCCCGCCGCCCTATAGCAGAACTACTGCTACAGGGTGGCAGGGCTGCGCAAAATCACGTGTGTATATATACGTGAACTTGCATTTCCAGGTAGGGGACACGCACATGCGCGGCACGCCACCCTGCCCACACCGCCATTGGCGGCTACAGCTGTCAATCACCAGGTCCCGGCTGGAGATTCCCCGGTGATCACCAAGGAACAGTGACAGGGGAGAGGTCTATGTGTAAACAACACAGCTCTCTCCCCTGTCAGCACTGACAGGCTGTTTGTATTGCTCTGCATAGCAGAGCAATACAAATCAGCATGTTTCCCTAGTAAAACACACACTCTGCTAATGTGATTTTCATTACATGCTGAGTTTGACCTTATAAAAAGTTTACTTTAGTTAAGTAACCTATAACACTTTCTAGTTATATATACATTTATCTCACTGTGAAACTATGAGTACAGCAGTAAAAAAGACAAATAGAACGTGAATCCCCCTAACTGGAACACAGACCACAATAAAAACTGACAGGTATTCTAATCCCCATCCAGTCCTCTATCCAAAACAAAAATAAAAAAGTTTTGCCTTTAGTTATACTTTAATAAATAAACTCCATACAGTTTATAGTGAGCATTTGGGAAATAAGTCCTTGTCACAGTGGGTGGTACTTGTAGTTTCTTACAAAATTGCAGGAACTCAGATTGTGCTTCCCCATTAAACATCCCAAAAAACTCACTACGACTGCAGCAGATTGTGTTTTTTTTTTTTATCTTGCTAATAACTTCATTTTTGTTTTATTAGGAGTGCTCACCATATGCAGCTCATTTATACGATGCAGAAGATGCCAACACACCCCTTCGTGAACTCCCAGGCCTGTGTGGTAACTACTGTACAGAGTTCTGGTTTCAGTGTCGGTCCACTCTCAGCCTGATAACAGACAGAGACCTTTCAGCAATAGAAAGTGATGTGGCTAAGTTTTGCCGTTATCTCACACTGGATGATGTAAACTATTGCTATCCTAATGTCCTTACAAACGCAGAACTCAATAAGGGTCTTGGCGAAGTGAAGGCAGATGATGAGGGATGTCTCCAGCTGTGTTTACAAGAGATTGCCAATGGACTGTGTAATCCGGTAGCTATGGTCCATGCTAACGATGGAACCCACCGCTTCTTCATAGCTGAGCAGTTGGGATATGTGTGGGTCTATCTACCCAATGGTTCACGAGTGGACAAGCCATTTCTTAATATCTCCAAGGCTGTACTTACCTCTCCATGGGCAGGAGATGAGAGGGGTTTCCTGGGAATTGCCATGCACCCCGACTTCCGTCACAATGGAAAGTTCTACGTTTACTATTCTATCTATGCCAAAAAGGACGAGAAGATAAGAATATCTGAATTCTACGTTTCTACAGACAACATGAACATGGCTGATCACAAATCTGAACGGTATTAGTATTAGCAATGAGTAGTAGAAGTTGCATTTCATTGAGATGACTCTTACAGCGAACCTGTGCTGACACAAAAGATTTCTAAGAATAGTTCTAAACTGTTAGACATGGGTGGATGGCAAATCTTTCTTGCCAGCTATTGTATTCTGACATCAATGGATGACAGAATATTTGAGATGCCTAAGCATCTGATTGGCTGTAGTCACTGTTTAGCTTGACTACCTGAGATAGCTAAGCATCTGATTGGTTGAAATCACTGTTTGGCCCAGAATGTTCTGCTAGGTCCTTAATTTTTCAGATCAAAGCTTGCTGCCAGGGCCATCCATGGCTTGAATTTCATCCAGTTCAGCAGGAATTGCAGGACATTTGAGCCATGTGTAGCCAGCATTTTCTTAAAGTTTATTACCTGTGGAGCCTTTGAATTCTGGTGTTATTTTATTTATTTATTACAGGTACTTAACTCCAGGTAGGTTGTGCCATAGTTGGGTTTCAAATTGATGACTCTAGTGCTGCCAAGCAGAAGTGCTAACCACTTAGTCTCTGTGCTGTCCAGGCAGTACCCAGAGCTTTGACTTCTGCTCAAGTCAATATTAAGCCCCACTCCCTGATGATGCTAGTTAATGCCCTCTGTCAATCAATTGACGGAACTTCAGCGGGTAGAAAAGGCTGTGGCATTTAGCAGTTAAATCACATGGGACATGGCTTAATGCTGGGAGAAGGATTAGTGTCAACTTGAATCCAATAGGCTGCATAGGGATACAGGACCCAGGATCAATTCCAAGACTAATACAGGTATGTTCCTGGAATTTAGCACTGTTAATACATTAGGTTCACTGACTGAAATGTATCTCCCCTTGACTTCTTATCATTCTTTGGGGACTCTATCAGAATAATTTCTACTTGGAGTTCTCATTCTTGCATGCTGAAGCATGCAGTCTCCAATAGAGACAATTGCATTATTATGAATATCCATAGGATTTGGTTGTGTAGTGGAAACACATTGCAGAGAACTTGCTGATGGAGTGCTCAAGAGTTGAACTATTCAACATCCTGTTAAATAAAAAATAGAAAAAGGGAAAATCTAATAATAATTTTTAAAATCACATTTCTACTACTTTCTGAGAAACCTGGCATTGTAATTCTGGGCAACAAAGTTATCAGTTTTACGAACTGTACTTTCCTTCAGGTATTACAAGGTACAGTAACTAATCACTCATTGAGAGGTCAATCAGGAGTAATCTTTCTTGGATCTGACTTCAATATTCAAAAATCGCATTAGTTACTATGAATCCACTTGTGTATACCCAACATTGATATTTTACTTTTGTTTATATTTTGTACTTCTGTACATCTGTGTCCTGAATCTTCTCCTGAGTTCTTAAAGTATATCAAACCAAAATGTTTTATTTTTGTTTTTTTGAACAGAGGAAGGAAATATCCATCTTTTTTTCCCTGTATGTGTCTTGCTCGGCAGATTCACCCTCTTTTTGCCCTGGTGATTGTCACCAGACCTCCAAGTGAGAGAAATCCAAATTTGTGAGTTTTCAAAGCTGTTCTATTCATGTTTGAATAGACAGGAATCTTCTAACTGGGACACTGGTTGCATGTTGAACTGACTTAGGTTCACCGCACACGTTACAGTGTGACTGTAGAATCTTCTTTAGATCCAGGTTGAAGTGCAAGGACCTGTCTGAATAAACATAAAGATTAAGTTTACACTAGCTTCAAAAGCAGGCATCTCATGAGCATTTTTGAAGCCCACAAAATTGTGTGCATTGCAGCGAATAGTGTTGCTCACATGGTTGCGTTAACGTTGTGTCAATATTGAACGGACGTGTCATTTGCTAAGCTTTACCACTCCCCAATGCCCCATAGTAAGCCAATGGGTTATGTCAATGCCCAGGCATTCCATCCGTTGTCAGCACTCTCTCTCTCCTCTCCCTTGAAGTCGACTGCTGAGGAGATCATGTGACTGGACTGGAGTGCCCTGAGAATGGGTAAGTACATGCATCTTCCTTCTACAGGGTAGTTATTATAAGTGTTAGAAGGTGGGTGGGAGGCATTTTAAGTTTAGTTAGATCTAGGCATAGGTGTGAATGGAGTCTAAACAAAGTATTCAATTTATATTCAACCAGTTACTACATCGTTGATAGTAAATCTAAAAGTCATTGTACAATCAGATTGTAATATGTATAGGTAGTTTTATATCTGTTGGGACACAGTTTTTAATGGTAATTCTTAAATAAATTGTACAGCTAAATTGACATATGTGTAAAGATGCGTACACATGGATCGAAATGCAACTGGTTCAGCAGGTACCCAGCCAAAATTCAGTCTGTGCATTAGGGCCATGTAGGATGGAAGTCAATCAGTAGATCGATTACTGTTGAATGGGACTGTTGGAAAGCTTTTATTCGATCAGCTTCTGCAGCATTCATAAGTGTAGTCTGACAGTGGAGGAGTCCCCGCTCTCAGCATACAAAAGATCTTAGGGATATTAGGGAGGATTCCTCTGTCCATCTCACTTGTGTGGATAGGGAAATCTGTTAATTTTTCTCATTTAGTCCACTGGCTGAATAAAAAAAAAAAAAATCTAAGCTTGTATACCCACCAAGTAACGTTATCTGTTGGGGACACCAACAACCCATTTTGTGTCCATTTTGTGACCCATTTCCGCTAGATTTTTAAAATTAATTTACATAGAATGCAGAAGAACATGTGAGAATCCTCCTATGTGGCACAAGGAAAGAAATCCCATAATCAGTTGAGAGGGGTGATCCCAAAACTGCAGTCAAGAGATACAAAATAATGTGGTTTATTCAATTTTCCTGCTTTCTGTAACTGAAATATCACTTTTAGTTTGGCTTATCCTGTAAACATGTGGGCAGTGCTCACTGGGCCTTTTACTCCTCTCAGTCCTCCGGACTCTCCAGTGTACGTGCTCGCTTATGCCTGGGACCAGACTGGGCCACATTCATGTGACATCAACATAATGGCAGCTCCTTGACTTAGAAGTGAGCCGTACACCCCAGTTTCTCTGTATCATAATCTGAATCTGTATACAGGTGCCTACCGGTCCCACGATACATACCTGCTCAGGATGTGACATTTTGAAGAAGACACCACATTGCAGTGTCCCGTTCCACAAGTTTGGTTAGACTTCACCACCCATCTCCCAGTGACAGAGCGGGTCTTGCCAGGAATCAAGCCGGACTACCTAATTAACTCTTCGTACCATACAGCTAGGTCCCTATCATGCGACATAATGAGAATCACAAAATAACAGTTCAGCATAAAGCGCAGTCTTTCCCTAGCATTCCCAGTCCCTAACTACAGGCTTGTGTGCTGCCCCAGCAACCTACTCAGGAAAGAGTCCTTGGCTGATATCTTCTGGGGGGTCTGCAAGTCCCAATAATCCCCCTACATGTGGAAAGCTCCAGGCCACATGTTTGTAGCAGCTTTGTTGGAATCAGGAAGAGAAGTGCTCTCCCACATCTTGCTGGCTGGTTGTGTCATTCCATAACATGTATCAGGCTGTGTGTTGTGGGATCACAAGGCTCAGCAGCCCCATGCATGTCAGCAGGCTCTTCAGGCAGGCAATCTCAAGTGAGGACAGTCAGGATGGGAAACTAGCAAAAAGCAGAAGGAACAGAGAGGAGCTTTTGGTGGTTGCTGGAGGGTCGGGTTAAATCTCAGCTGTTAGCCTTCCCTCTTCCCACATGGCTTGAACTCATCTGGACAGAGCTCCCTCATTATTTTGCCAAAAACATAACCGGGAAATAAGTTAACCACCGGCCCTCCAGAGGATGTACCCCCTTCCTGACCAGGCCATTTTTTGCGATACAGCGCTGTGTTACTTTAACTGACAATTGCACGGTCATGTAACACTGCACCCAAAGGAAATTTACATCCTTTTTTCCCACAAATTGAGCTTTCTTTTGATGGTATTTGATTGCTTGTACATTTTTTATTTTTTGCGCTAATAACAAAACAATACCGACAATTTTTAGAAAAAAAATATTTTTAACTTTGCTATTAAACATGTACTGTAAAAAAATTTTAAATCAAATTTTGTCATAAATTTAGGCCAAAATATATTCTGCTACATGTCTTTGCTAAAAAAAATCCCAATACGTGTAAATTAATTGGTTTACGTGAAAGTTATAGCATTTACAAATGGCGTATAGATACTGGAATTTTTTTTTAATTTACTAGTAATGGCGGTGATCAGGGACTGTGGCGGACATTCTGACACTGGGGGGAACTGACTTGGTGCCACTGATATCCCCAGTGACATCAATACAGTGATCAGTGCTAATAAAAAGCACTGACACTGTGCTAATGGCATTGGGCAGGAAGGGGTTAACTACTGGAGCGATCAAAGGGTTAACTGTGTACTGTTTCACTATGTGCACTGTGTATGTGCTTCACTGTAAGCACCCTGTTTTGTATGGCTGTATTATGCAGAACCATACTAAGCAATGTGCAGGAGCTGACAGGGGAGAGATCTGTGTTGTTTATACACGTCTCTCCCTCGTCGAAGACACTCAGCTATCACCGGGTGCCAGCGAGTAATCACCGGGTGGGACCCGGTGATTGACAGCCAAGGCCACGAATGGCCCCTACCCGGAACTGCAAAATCACGTATATGTACCCGTGCCGCCCTATGCATAGAAGCAGTTAATCTTTTCCCTCTCTGCCAGGCAGCAGCTAACTAGCACTTCAACCTGCTTACAGAGAATAGGTGCAGGTACTCCAACCCAACCCCCTTGTCTTCACTGCCTACCCACTTCCAAGCACTGTGTCTTGTCTCCATCCCCCCTACCCACCCTCCAGTATTGCCTTCTTTAGAGATTACAGAACCAAGTATCATTTTGTTGTGCTAAGTAATTTGGATGGAATTTGTTAATGATAACAAGAAAAGCAGTAAAATAGATCCCATGCAGCCCACAATAAAAAAAATCCAGTAACAATAAACCCTCCCCTCCCCCCCCCTTC